AGGACAATTAAACCCAGCCAGGACCAATTACCCCCCGGGACACTTACCCACCCGGACAATACCCCGGAATTACGCCCACGACAGCGGGGACAACGGTTGGGCACCAAGTAGCGGCTCCATAGGTCTATGTCCCCCCAGGGTACTCCCCGTAGCTCGGCCGGATAACGTAACCCTAGGTAGCGGTCCCGGTATAACGGCAACGTACCCTGGTCACTATTTGATATGGTCTAGGGTTAGGATTAGTGGTTAGGGTTTTAGGTTAGGGTTACGGTTAGGGGTATGGAGAGTAGGGCGTTAGCGACTCCCTGACTCGTTAGTGGAGTAGGGCGGAAGGTTCGGTCGGCGGCATATTAGATTGTACCAGGGTACGTTCGGCGGTATACGGACGGGGTGCCCCATGGTACGTTGCCGGCAGTAGCCCCGGCTTTCCGACCTTGCGTGACGGGTTTGCACGTACGTTGTGTCCAATGCGCCTATTGTGTCCACTTTTTCTCCCACAGTGAAATTTGTTCTTTGCCTTCATTGCGGGATCAATGTTTGGTAGAGAGATCAGTGGTCCTAATGTAGCTATAGGGATGCTAAGCTGACGCAGGTGAAAAACGCACAGCGGGAGACAGACCTTACAGATACGCGATTAACTACAATTAACTCTTACCCCATCTTATTTCTATTTAATGAATATAGGTGTCAGAGAGCAATCCTGACCAAAGCGACCTCATACACAACAAATTCATAGCGGAAGTTCCTGGGTCTGTGACTTTTTAGATCGCGCAAGCTTTATCATAGAGAAAAGAGTCAACATTAGTTTATCAGGGTAGGCTTACTGCAAATTGGTAAGCATCATTGGCTATCTTCCTCTGATCCCATCTTCTCCAACTGATCCTGCTGTCCTAAAGGAAGAGATGATGTGACTTGTCAGGACATCACATGCACTCGGTGACAAATACACAATCATCACTGGAGATCAGGCTACATATGAGCTCGCAGTAGCCATCAGAGACAAGCATCGTGGTGAGTTAAGCAATGTAGTCTTACTGCTGCGCGACTTTCATGACTTACATGAAAGCAGTTTGAAAGATCATCAGGGAGGCAGGTCCAGAAGATCTTCTCGTTGCAGCTGGTCTATGCCAGGAAGGGACTGCCAAAAAGATGTTTGGTGAGAAAGCTGACTACTACCAGACCATACATGCCCTCAGAATCCTGAGCTAAGGTATGTGGCACCTCTACGGGGAAGCATTCGAGTCATGGGCAGCAGATAGAGAAACAGATTACTGGCAGCCACAGGTGGAATCTGTCTTGAAGATGTTGTTTAAAAAAGACATCACTGCCACTCAGAAGTTACAGATAATTCAGAAGTCCCATGAACAGTTATCAGCCATGCAGGAACAGATGATTCTTTTCCAAGAATCACTGGTTGAGCAACCAACAGTAATTTTCTGGTCCATCTTCCTGGAGATGTGAGACATTCTTCACAGGATTATCTACTACCAGCGAGAAGCTGACTGGGTAGGACATCTCACTGAATCATCACGAATGCTACCTTACCTGACAGCAGCAGGGCACTACAAATATGGCTAGCATTCTTTGCCTCTCTATCTGGCTAAAATGAAGAAACTACATGAAACAGCCCCAGATGTACATGAAGCATTAATAGCAGGTGTATTTGTCGGGAAGAGAGCAGATGGCAAACACAATAGTGTCTCTCCTGACATGCTTCTGGAACAGACTTACAATGCAGATGCCAAGGAAGCGAGTGGTCTGGATGGCATTACACTAAACCCTGCCGCACGGATGAAATGGGTTTACACAAAACCCATCACTGCTGCTGTCTCTGTAGAGTTGAAATCTATGCTACATCTTCATTCATCCAGCCCTCACCATGAATCTGGTGTAAGTTAAGTCACAACTTCAAGGGATGCAGAGATGGTGATCACGGTAATGGCAGCAGTCAAGACGAATCCATTCGGTGCAACCACAACATCCCTGATAAATATAGCAACTGGGTAATGCGCTGATTGCAACGTTAAGGACAACCTTACCAGTGTGAAAAACTGGGTCTGGAGAGTGGAGGCACTGTCTCAGTCACTGACTATGCAGTGATCAGAAGAAGACAAGTATTGTGAAGCCGAACACCTTCCACACACAAAACAAGAGGAATAGAATAGAATCGACGCAGAAGGAGGCTGATACAAGGATAATTCTGCAGACTCTGTACAGTGTCAAGAATGACGGAGTTGAAAGAGTAGTTATCCACTCCACTGACACATACATTATTACCATGTTTCTACACTATGGAGAAACACACCTGAGAAATCTACCAGAACTATTGGTGAGGACAGCCCAGAACACATACTTACCAATCCATGAAATGGTGGTGACACTGGGAACTTCACAGTGTCGTGCAATGCCCTTCATCTATAGCCTGAGTGGCAGAGACACTACGAGTTATCCTTACTTCACCGGCAAGAAGGCATGGTTGAAGTGCAGCTTGTGTCTCGACATACCCATGATTGAAGAGTTTGGTGAGAACACTACTGACATCGTATCAGAAGACCTCAAGCAGGCAAGAACCATTACCACACATGTTTACACATCAGCAGCTGATGACTTCCAAGAGTCGGATCTGGGCAAGTTCAGGGCATACAAGTTTTTGAACAACAGATCTACTCTCCTAAAGCTCTTACCCCCACAGAAGACGCATTCCTTCTGCGCGTAAAGAGGGCTGCCCTTGTGTTGTGTAGTCCTTTTGAGACTAGTACTTGTACTAAACTCTTTTGAGATATTGTATTGCGTGTGTAAACTCTTTTGAGACTACGGTTATTGTACGACTCGTGTATACGTCACGCTCCTAGAGGGTGCCTAACATTTATGTATTACTCGGTGAAAGACTAAATAGATCTATCGTTGTACGTTATACTTTGTGTCTGTCTATTATTCGTGCTTACCTCAGGGTACATAGTGCCCATACCAAGCAGAACCTGGGGTGCACTATTATCGACACGAGCCTCATTACAACTGGTGCCGTGTATAAAAAAGCTTGGTAAGGTTGCATAGTTATTAGACAGATACGGGTTGTTTCTAATATACGTTTTTTTATTAGTTGTTGTTGTTTGTTATATATGTATTCGTTTCTAATATAAGTGTTGTTTTTTCATACATATACTCGGTGTGTCCGCATGCGTCTGCATTTGTGAGCGCAAATACGAAATTCACGTGCCGCTGCCGAAACCTCACCATGAAACTGTAAGTGTAAGTTTAAGCTTGAATGTATCAAATTGTTGGAGTGCGCATAGATGTTTTGGTATGTATTAGTAAATATACCCTATACTACAAAATACTGTTTACTAATACTTTAACGGTTAACTATGGCGGCTACCCACCCGGTCACCCACCCCCTGCTCTCAGAAACTAATATTGATTGCTCGTTAGACCTATCAGACGATGACGCTGAAGTCACTTTTCCTAAATTACCTTTGGAACAGCTTGTAAAAGAGATACAAATTACGCCTATTGCTAGTATCAGGTTATCGGGAGTTTAACGGTACAGATGAAACGCCAGTGACCTTTACTCAGTGGGCCAAAAATATCAATCACTTATTTATAATCTTGGATGAGACAGAAGAAAAACGACGTGTACGGCTAGTGCTCCGCTTACTTCATGGCGAGCCAGCTAATTATGCAGCAGAAATTTTAAGTCTTTCTCACACTATAACGTGGAAACATTTCTTTGAAATTTTAATACAGTGATATTCTGATTCAAGCGAATCACCGCTCGCTCTTCAAAAATTTAAGAAAGCAAAACAAAGGCATTCAGAATCGCTTTTATCATTTGCTAAGAGATTAGAACAACTAGGTAAAATTGCTTTTGGTCAATTGAATGACAATGATATAAGTCTGCAGCTAAGATTAGTTTATTCATTCACCGATGGCGTAACCTCCGACGCCGTAAAGAAAGTTTTAGTGCGACAAAAACCCGCTACATTTCAGAAAGCAGTGCAACTTGCAAAACACGAGTCGGTTTTAGACATGGAAGTGAAAATGAGAACGCAAAAGTCGACTGACGAGACAGACGTTTCAGCAATCTCTGTAACAGAGCCACGGACAATACAGCGACAAATAAATGATATTTGTAACAGCGTAGCAGATTTACGACAAGCTTAATTACGACAGGGCTGAGCGACCAGACAGACAAACTTCTAATTATTCACAACGCAGCGTACTTATCAAACTAATAACCCTGTACGTAATTCTAACTGGAATCAACGTGACCATTTTCCTCAACGTCAAACATTTCAGTCACGACAGCCGTTCATGACGACTGCGCGCCCACCGCCACATTACCCCTCTCGATTTAATTATCCGCCGCAGCGACAAACGCAACAACCACTAATTATCCCGCGTCGGGATGTTACATTTTGTTACACCGCAACAGGAGTACAAATCTGCGCTATATGCAACGCCGCAGGGCATTTTTGGGCGAATTGTCCGCGCCAATCACCATCTCGTATGTCGGTAAACCCTCCCACCGGTCTTCGCAATGCGAGACGATAGAATCGGTGAATCTCGCTCTTACTTAGAAAAAAATAGATTTAAGGCCCCGTTTACCACAAACGCTAACAATTTACCAATATGTATCACTTATAAATGAATCTCTGTGGCAACAGGTTAAATCAAAATTCTCACATACTTTCTCGTCAGTTAACCATACATTCTTTGTAGTACGAGACTTGTTTGAAACTGTTCTGATCGGATGTGATTTTTTACAATACCATAAAGTTATAATAGATTGCGCGCAGCGACGTCTGTTGCACCACAAATCGTCGTCTCTGCATAAATTGTCGTCGGCGACAATTTGTGCAAAATTTTGCAAAACCTCACACCACAAATTGTCGCCTCCTGCACAAATTGTCGTCGGCGACAATTTGTGCAGGGAGCTGACACCACAAATTGTCGCCAGCCATCGAAGTACATTATACGATCCTGTTCAAAGCCACGAGTGACATAAATTTGGGGTTAAATGATCATTCTTGATATACGCATATACATACCAACACATAATTTATCCATGCACACAAACCAACATATAAGGTCATGTAAACGTTTGTGTGTAGTGCGTGTGTGTGTGTGTGTGTGTGTGTGTGTGTGTGTGTGTGTGTGTGTGTGTGTGTGTGCGCGCACACACGTGTGAAGTGGCCCTAGGGGTAGCCGACTACGGTATGACAGGCGTTATATAGTTAACGCGTGTTTAGTTGTGTGGATTCATTGTTCGCTCCTGCCGTGAGGCAGGACGGTGATGCAGTATCATATAACAGGTTGTACAAGTGAAACAGAACACAGTTATATTCGGTTAACTGTACGGTTATAGTTTTATTGTTTCTTACTAGTTTACGAATAATTCCCCCGGCATTCGTATATGCCGCGGATCTGTATTTATCTCGTACGTATATGTAGCTTACGCTACTTAGCTTGCGTTATAAGTTATCTGGTTTGCCGTTATCGCGATTATCAGGGCAGCGTGAAGCGCTGTTACGTTGTTTAACTAACTTTTTATATTATAAGACTTCAAACCTAAGAAAGAAGAGTATCATGTGACACTTTAGGTACTTATAATTTTTGGCGGAGTTGCTTCCAGTCTTGTGGCTTATATACAGGGGCAATGGTCCAAGTTCCACATTTAGAGTACCTCAATGCCACATTTCTTCATCATCATTAATTATGTTCAAAATTGTTGTTTTTAGGTTTACATGTTTTTCAGGACGAGTTAAAAAATGTAATCGTCCGGAGAATGCACCTGTATTCCATCCCAACGTCATTTTCTAGTTTCATTTGTGCTGAGCAAGCAGCCAATGGTATTTGTATTGCCCTCAGTTTAGTTGTTTTATGTATGATAAAAATTATAGAATGACGATGATCATCGTGCGTATTATGATATTGCTGTGATTATGATGATGAGTGGTAATAATAAACAAATGTTGACATAGTGACGATAATGCTTGTGATAATGCCAATAACGCAACAATGGGGATAATTGGCAATGTTCGGAGGGTCAAGATAGCGAGTCATTTAAATTTCCATTTCCGTAATCTGCATGCAGGGAGATTGCGAATAGCAGGGGAAACAGTTTGTGATTGGTTTGTTCTGGTATTACGCCACTTTTATGCGTTAAAAACAAAACTTGTGTTGATTAAAGAAATTGTCAGTTTCCACTGCGCTTTTCTCTTGGAGCAGTACATGTACTTCATCGCCCTTACTTGTATTTCACCGTACTTCTTTCGTATGTATTGTGCATGTGAGTATTCAACGAAACTCAAAATGTCTACCGTAAACACTAAAACATACCATAGACACTACTTCAAAATAAAAAATCGCTACGCTCCCTCGCACAATATAGTATACCCTTCCTATGGTAACTCGCTCCGCTTGCGGATGCATCATTGACATTGCTTGGGAGAGAACTTCGACAAAATTTGCTTCGCCTATGTGTACGTGTGTTTGTGTGTTAACATACATAATATACAGGTTAACACAGAGATAGATCTTCAAATTAGTTCAGGGCCGTATCAAGGATTTAAGTAAAAGTGTTATTATAATTTTAAACATTATTACAATATAATATTTAAAATATTATTATGATTGATATCACTACTAACTATCACTTACTAACTAGCATCGCAGATTTTTACTCTTTGTTTTTTTCCCCAAATATCTACAGTTGTTATACGTTTAGCGTTGACTCCACGGTTGCTGATGGAAGCATAGGAACTGGGCGTGGTGTATCAATCAATCACATCCTATGCATCGATCACTTCTTTCTCTCTCTCTCTCTCTCTCTTCTCTCTCTCGCGCCCACTTTCTCTCTCTCCCTCTCTCTCTCTCTCTCTCTCTCTCTCTCTNAATCAAATCACGAATTTAATTTTTATTAAAATATTAACGTACTTGTTGCGTTATGGAGAATTCAGAGAGCATATATGCTGCAGTGATCATGAGGTAGTGAAGGCACAACTGGCTAGGCAAGCCCGTGCTTGCTGATGCATTAATCGCTATTTCGTGGTGTTAAAGGGCCGGACACACTAGGCGATTAAATCGGGCGATAAAATCAGGCGACAAAATCGCCCGGTAAATTAAGCACCTTTTGTGACTTGTAATAAATGCACGAGTCTATTTTTTAGTGCTATTTTCACACCGACAGTTTATACAGATATACTAATTTCGTCTGCTACTCGAATCTGTGTTTCAGGTTGACTGGTTCGAAATGTTTCCTGCAGAGGGCGTCTGCGATGTCGCTCATCTCATCGTCAAAGAAATTCTTCCAGTCGCCAACTTTTCCTGTCGAAAGAATTTGTGAAAAAAACACACACGCATACACGCACGCACGCACTGCGTGCCAATGTTCGGCAATGCGCGCCAGGCTTTTTAAAGCGGAGAGTGACGGTGAGGGTCAGGATCAGGGTTAGGGTTAGGGTTAGAGTTAGGGTTAGGGTTAGGATTAGGATTACGGCCCTATACCTTTGCGCATGATGGGTGCAGTGTTAGGGTCGCGCAGTCCATTCTTCATGAGGAAATCCCAGTTCGTGAGCGGGTTCGTGCGCATGCGCTCGAAGTTCGTCTCAGCGACAATGGCAGACACCTGATCGTCACTCAGCTGTTTACCTAGAAACTCAGCGATGCGACGCACGCCCACTGCCAGGTCTTGCACAAAAAGAAATTACCGATTGGGGCATATGCAGTACGGGAAGAGAAGAGGAAAAGAGAAGAAAAGAAAAGAGAAGAGAGAAGTACGGGGAGAAAAGGGAAGAGAAGAGAAGATGGGGAGGATGAAGAGGAGGAAGAGGAGTAAGAGGAGGAAGAAGAAGAGGAGGAGGAGAAGGAGGAGAAGGAGAAGGAGGCAGATGGAGAGATAGAAGAGAGGAAGAAGAGGAGGAAGAGACGGCCGTGGAGGAGGAGGAGGA